CGATGCAGCCAAGCTGCCATGGCTCAGTGGTTGAACCCGGGGCACATGCCCCGTTTTCGGGCTTAATCCCCAGTAGGGGGCATGCAGGAGGTAGCAGATCAATGATTCTGTTTCCTCTTTGATGTTTCTTTCTCTCTCTCCCTCTCCCTTCCTCTCTGAAATCAATAAAAAAGATATTAAAAAATAAAAAAAAGATGAGGACATATAAGTGTTTTTTGTTCTATTTTGTGTAGTTTTGTTAATCCTCACCCAAGGATATATTTTTTTCCCATTGCTTTTCAGAGTTGAAGGGAAGGAAGGTGAGCAAGAGAGAGAGAAACATCGACTGGTTGCATCCTGCACACTGCCCCCCCACCCCCGCCAGGTCAGGGGAGTGAACCCACAACCAGGTATGTGCCCTTGACTGGGAATCGAGCCTGCGACCCTTTGGTGTGAGAGTTGGTGATCTGACCACTGAGCAACACTGGCCAAGGCAGAAGTATTTTTTTTATTGATTTGTAGAGAAAAAAATATTGACTTGTTTCATTTATGCATTCATTGGTTGCTCCATGTACCTGCCCTGACTAGGGATCAAACCTGCAACCTTGGTCTACTGGCACCACACTCTAAACAACTAAGCTACCTGGCGAGGATCATAGAAGTATTCTTTATTTTTTATTTTTTTTATTTTTAGGTATAGTCAGGTCTTTATTTAAGAATCTCATCTGCCAACTTAGCGTTTTCCACCAACACGGGGAGCAGAAACCTTCACAGGCTCCACAATCTTTTCCTCAGGTGCTGCCTTTGTGGGAGCCTTAGCAGCAGCCGTGGCTGTCTTTTTAGATGCTTGCTTAGCCTGTTTTGCTTCCTTGGCAGCCCTGATAGCTTGCCCTCGCTGAGCTTTCCTAACTTCAGGCTGCTGGTTCCTCTTGGCCATTATGTCAGCAAGAGGTGCACCAGTGATGGCCCTCTGGAATTTGACTGCATGGCGGGTTCTTTTCTTTCGGATTTCTTCCGACTGTCCCTTTTTGTGCTTTCTCCTCCTGTAGAGCACAGTGCAGTTTATCTGCCAAGGGTTCCTC